AGGGAGGGAGAGAGAGAGAGAGAGAGAGAGAGAGAGAGAGAGAGAGAGAGAGAGAGAGAGAGAGAGAGAGAGAGAGAGAGAGAGAGAGAGAGGGGGGGGGGCGAGGGAAGTAATTAGTGTTAAGTAGTTTTTTATTTCATGCTTTTTACTAGGCACCCACAGAAGATGTAAAGCGATTAGAACTAGATCTAGTAAATTTTTATACATGTATATATTTATTTGAATACAAAGATTTAAAACAAACCAACCTCAAGGTGACGAGTAGTCTCTCCCGGGCTGTTATGGCTTTCCTGAAATTCGTATCCTGCCGGTAAATTTTAGGACTGACAATGTTCAGTAATTCTTCGAAGGATGACCTCGACATTCGTGTGTAATTAAAAAACTTCTCCTCGTCATCACAAAGTTGGGGATAAAGTCGACATAAAATTCCTCTTGAGTCCCTTTTGGCGTTGATAGGGTGAATCCATGATCTTCTTCTTTTCTTTTGCGATAGCTTCTTCAAAAGAAGTAAAACAATTACGGTTTCTTCGTCGTCAGACATAATGATTTCTAGAGAAGATGAAGATAACGCAGAGTAAATGAAAACCGCAAGATGCAGGAACTGAAACTTAAACAACACGTGTGTAGACCTAAAATATTTCCCAGGAAAAGAATGTTAACACAGGAGACCACTGTGCAGGAGACGCGCCTCAATGACTTCTGTCCTAGTTCTAGCCCAAGGAGGCTACAGTAATGGAGGATGCTCTGTGGGCGGCACCGCACGCCTGACAGGAGCCTTCTCTTGCAGCGGAACTATGGTCTACCTGCGCTGTGCTCTGCCCGACATGGGCACTGAAATCTAGAAGAAAGAAGGTTTTATTCCGAGGTCCTTGAGATAAGGCAAGTCAATTAGTAAACATGCCTTCCACCTGTGTTATGTTTAAGTGTAAGAAGCGAGGATGATACCGCAGTGGACAGAAATGGTTTTAAGCTCTTAGTTCTAGCCCCAACCCAAGGACCTTACTGTAACCTCCTTGCTCCAGCCCCAGATGAACACACCAGCTCTGGCACCATGAACGGTGCTCCACTAGCCCCGTGACCCAGGCCAGCCCCAGGCCAGCGCTATCTGCAGTGTGGCTGCGGCCTAGCCTACAGGTGAAACCCATGGAAGGGAGCGGATTTTTCTTTTCCTTTCTGCGTTGGACAGGTTTCCGCTTTATACAGGTACAAGGGGAGAGCGGGGGGATTCTGTTAAGACAGGTTTCCGTTTTATACAGGTTTCCGTGAAGGCAGGTTCGACTGTATAATGAGATTTTTGTACCTGTGTGCAGTAATTTAAAGTTGGTCTTGTTATTCTTTATTTTTGTTGTTGTTTGTTTGCGAATTGGTGAAGCTGACACACACACACACACACACACACACACACACACACACACACAAACACTCACTCTGTGTCTGTCTGTCTGTCTGTCTGTCTATTTCTCTTTCTCTCTCTCTCTCTCTCTCTCTCCCAAAATATATAGACTTAACCCATTTCTTTGGCCTAAATGCACACACATGCACTCAACACACACACATGAGCCAGCGTGCGCACGCACACACACACACACTCACACGCACACATTCACTCTCTGTCTGTCTGTCTGTCTGTCTGTCTGTCTGTCTGTCTGTCTGTCTGTCTGTCTGTCTGTCTGTCTGTCTGTCTGTCTGTCTCTCTTTCTCTCTTTCTCCCAAAATATATAGATTGTAAAGCGTGAAGAGCTTGCTGTTGAACTATTCCCTACTCAAATGCTATTTGTGGGTGGTTGGCTCCATCTTCCCTATCAAACATCTTTCTTGGCGCATTCCCACCTTCATTTCTTGGCATGTTACATTCTATTACTGTAACACCTTTAATCTTCGGCACTGTGACATCTAATTTTGCGTTCGTGTTGAGGAAGGTCCCAGTTGTCGGTAAAGCTAATTTTGAGCAACGGGGTGAAAAGGCCAAAAAAGTCGCACCTGGTCAAAAATTTAGTTCCTTGAGAAAACGCATGTTTAACTTTTTTAAAATAACATATTGAAAGGATTTTATAATATTTTAAGTCTAAATATTTTGTTATTAACTATTTTTGCAACCTGTTGTATTCCACTTAAGGTTAAAAGTATGCTAGAAACTGAGGTTAAAACCGTTCTTCTCCAAACTTAGTTTTTTTTACACCCTTTTTTACAAAATGTGGCATATCTTTAAAACTATTGAAGATATTTGAAAAAATGTTAAAATCAGCATTGCACTTGCTACAAGAATATGCCCTTGTTTTAATATCCGAAATTTCCTACAATTTGGACCTTACTCCAAGCACACACACAACTGTGTTGTTAGTGATGTAAAATTCTTACTAAAACTAAACTAAACAAAGTGCTCTCTTTTCGTTACAATTATTATTTTTGTTATTATTATTGTAGTTGTTCTGTAACTGATTCTTCCCCTAAAGTGTGTTGATGGGGGCACGAAAATACCTACATTGAAAATATTTTTTTATTCCTCCCCAGAGGTTAAAAGCCCAGTTGCGGAACCAGGTGAGCCCGACTTCCAAGATGGCCGACCATGCCCTCACCCCGACCAACTCCGCCTTTGTCCCGGCCTCGGCGGCCGCCTCCATCCCATCACACAGCGCCGGCGGCCAGCAGGTCATCCTAACTAACTCCTCCCCAGTTATGATGGTGGACTCGCCAGGGTCAGAGGTCAACCTCTCCGACTCGTCGGATTACTCCATAGACAGGCAAGGAAGCTTTTGTCGCCTCGGCAACCTTCACCATACTTGTCGAGGAAATCATGGGGTTCCTGCTTAAATTATATCAAGCTACAAAATTTATATTGCTTTTTTTTTCCCCGCTTTATTTGCGTGTGTCGTTGGCTCATTATTGTTTCATGTAGATACGTTGATGTGTTCATCTTGTGCGTAGACTGACAAATGTTCAGCAGAAGTCTTACATTTTCTTAAACTGGAGAAAAAAGTTTCTTAAACCGGATCTGGCTGTAAGAGTTAATTTTATTAATTTTTTGCCAATTCTTATGGAAGAATGAAAAACATGTAAACTTTCTTGTCCAGCTGCTTGATTTTTTTTTGTTTTTTACATTGACCACTTCTAGTTTGATGAGCACTTAACTGTGTTCCGTTTTGTCTTCTCATTCAGTATTTTCATTTTGAGTGGTTGGAAGGGGTCACTGGTAAATTTTATGTCTTTACTCTTCCTCCTTTGTTTCTGTCTGTCTTGGGTTTTTTTTTCGCTTCACTATGGGTGGATAGTTGGTGCTCTGGGGTGGTTTGTTCCTTTTTTCCTTTTAAACAAATATCATCCCCATCTCTCCTACTTTTTTGTAACTCTCTTGTAACACTTCCAATCTTCAGCACGTATGTGAACTAATTGTGTTTCGAGTGCCGTAAAATGCTTACTGAAACAATTTCCCTTCTCATTGTAACTGTGGATGTGCTTCTCTTTACTCAAATAAATGGCATTGCTGTTGTCCCTTGGTAGATCTTTTCTCTCTGTTGCTCCTGTTCATCTTTCTAGTTACATGTGCCATAAAACCCTTTTAATAGAACAGAAAAAGAACAGGTCAACAATGCTAGAATATTCAACTCATAACTTTTTGCTCATATGATTTCTTTTACAGTAAGAGACAGAAAATGAGCCCGGAGAATGGTGACTCTGAGGAGAGGAGACGGAAGTTTCTGGAGAGAAATAGGTATGCGTTTTAGGAGTACAGTTAATACTGTCCAAGACAGCCACCCATTGTCGAGGAGAAAAATAGTTGCCTTAGACAGGTGGATGTCTTGGACTGTGGTATTATAATAATAGATATTAGAGAACATTTGTATAGCGCAAGTTCCTGCTCAACAGTAAACTCTATGCGCTTTACAATCTAATATAAATTACCCCTTCAGACCTGACAGCATTCTATAACAATCTCAACTTCCTGGGAAGCATGCAGTGCAAGCTGCCGTTTTATAGGCGCTAAAACACTAATATACTCGCAAGTTCTTGCCCTGTCTGGCTGAGTACCCATTCCCATCAGGATGAAGGGAGGAAAATTCGTGTGAAGTAGAGTTGGGGCGAGCGGACGGACGGGTTCGTTACTCGCGGACTCATTCAGAGTGAACGGGTAACAGACGGCCATGAGAGCGAACTGCGAACCTCAAGACAGTTTGTTTTTTGGGTCCGCTCCACAATTTGACTCTCTCAGCGAGCGGACTGCGGACCTCAAGCCTCATGTCAGTTCGTTTTTTGGGTCCGCTCCACAATTTTATTCACTGGGCGGGCGGGCGAACGGACGAACTCTAGGAGACGAGATACTCGACGCGAGATTAGACCCGTCGTCTATTGGTTGTCAATTAGGCCTGATGTTTCAAACCACTAGCGGTGCCACAGGGAGTGAGAGAGGCTGGTGACGTAGTACTATGTGTGTAACCTTTCACCTCGTGCGTGGGGCACACTGTGTACGTTCCAATTATCTCAAAGGCCGGGGGGG